TTTCAATAAAATATAGTTCTGTTCGAGTTTGTTCAACAAATAGAAAAAGTTTTGATTGAAGCTTCAATATTTTCAAGACGAATTATTAAACCTGTTTATATTACGAGTTAAATCATCAATACCAATTATTGATTTTATCAGCAGTTTGTAGAATATTATTTATGTATTCATTTATCTTTGTTGTTAATTCATTCAAACTTATTGGACAATGAATATTGTATAACAATTTCAAATAACAATATTGTGTTATAAAGAGAACAATTATTTCTATAATTAACAACAGACAATATTCGATTCATATTTTCATTAATATTTCAAAAATCAAATAAATTTGACTACAACATTAATATGATTTATAGAATATTAGAAGAGTTTAAATTTTCTATCATCTTTTATTTTCGTATCTCAATAAAAGTTAATTAAGAAAAATTCAATTTTGACATTTCTATTGATATTATCTTAATGTTTATTACTAGAGATGGATTAATCATTTTTCAAAAAACCTCTCTATTAATTCTTAGACTTTTAATAGATTTTATTTAATAAATGATTTTACTTTTCCATAAGAAACTTTTTTTGTTTATTAATTCGAAATTAAAATTTGATAAGAATAACTTATTAATGTCTCAATCGACTTTTTTTAATATTTTTTATTTTTGGCTTCTATATGATAAAAGTCATTTTTTTTTATGTCAACTATTTTGAATACAATCAAAATAAAGAAAAAATAAGATACCATTGAAATGCTGAAAGCATCTCTTTCAAACTAAATGATGAATCAAAATTAAATTGAAGATGATTCTTTTTCATTGATTGAAATATTGCATTTATCTAAATAAATTAACCAAAAACAAGAACGAAAAAAAAAAGTTTTATTTATGAAATATCTGATTAATAAAATACTTGCAATAAACGACCATGAAGAGTCTTTTATCTAATATTATCTTTTGATTGTTTCATTAATTGATTTATTTGTTGATGAATTATAGTTGAATATTGATCATGATGAATTAAAGCTAATAAAGCTTTTGATGAATGTTCTCGTATACGTAATAATGGAGATTCTTCACATCTATAATCATTTTAAATATATATCAGTTAATAAGAAAACAAATAAAATAATAAATTATTTAATAACAAATGGTAAAAGTTTATCTAATGTTAATGAACAATCAATTCCATCAAGTGGACTTGGATAAAGACGACGAAGAATTAAAAGTATAACAAATAAACATGATGATGATAATGATTCAATTGATGAACGAGTACTTAATAAATAGATTTAATTATATTTTATTTATTAATATTAAAAATCAAAAGAAAAAGAAATCTGTTGTTTGTTGTAATTGTTGATAAAATAAATGAAATAATGATGGATATTTATTAAAGAATTCTCTCGAAGTCATACTATTTTTTTTTCGATAAATTTTCTTCTCCATCTTTTGTTTTCGATGGACCAAATATTCTTTGAACTATTGTTGATAATAATAATGTTGCACTATTTCTTATCATCCATACTGATGATGTAAAACCAATTATTGATAAATGAAGACCACATTCAACATATGGATAAACATCATTTGAAAATCGTTGATTACGATAAAAACGAACGAACTGTATTTTATACATGAATCTATATTTAATATTAAATAATTATATTACAGGTTTCTTTCGATTGATTAATCAAGTTTTATATAGCTTTTCCGTTGTTACATAAAACGATTACAACTAATATCATGCGGAATAATTGCAACAAGTCCCGTGATCAGGAAGAGGTTATAACAAGTTCAATAGTTTTGACTGACGTTTTGGATTAAAAATATCATTCGATAAATTTTGATTTCAAGCACACATATGAGATCGATCAACGTTAATACAATAAATTTGAAATGAAAACATTAGTCTTTTTCTCTTTTTGATCTACTCGAAAAGAGAATGTGACTTTTCGTCTTACTTTTTCCTTAAGAACTCCGATTGAAGTAGTCCGTTACGATCTCCGAGCAAAAGAAAAAATGACAGAGTAGTCAGAATGGAACTCTCAATAACAAATATCAATGAAATGTATCAAAAAATAGGCTGCTCGGAATGAAATTTGTCCGAAAATTCATCACAACGTCTGAAAACTCCTCGTTAGTAATCAAACAGTAGGATTTTTGACTGGAGATCGAAATGAGAGAGTTCGGAAGTTCATAATAACAAAGACAGGATGCTCATAGCTATGTTGAGATTTATTTACCTTTGACGAATTGTGAAGTAAGACGGTTGTTTTACAGTCAGTCTTCTCTATACAAACAGAGAGAAAACTCTTGATATCCGTTAAGATCAATCTTGGAATTTCCTGCCAATATCATTTTATTCTTCTGATCTTTTTTCTGTAAAAGTACCATTAGACATTCATTCCAAACATTCGATCTTGTTCGTTACGATCTCCGATAACTATATCAGATGTAGCAAAAAGCATTCTATTCCGAATACACCATTTCGATTTCCCTACTTTTCTATTACGACCTCCCGTACAAAAATGTATACGAACTTCATTCATAGATATTTATGGACAAAAATTCATTTTCGAACATCCGGAGTTCGCACTGACTTTAGACGAAAAGTATATCATCCCTCGAAATAGGTTTCTTTTAATAGACTACAGCAAAGATTAATTCATAAATCAGGACAACTAAAATCGCTCTACATATTTTTATTATTGATAGAGACCGTACACTAAGCTTCCTTTATTTTAATAAATAATGAATGGTATTTAGATGCGTAAAAATTCATCAGAATTCAACTACGTAGAAAAATCTATTGAATAATCAATGAATGAAACTATAGATTATGTCATATAATAAATCTTAAAAGATTAAATTGATTTCTAAACTATTGAAATATAATCGATCAATGACTTATATCGAAGAATGAAAATAAATTCTTCGATATATTATAACTCTATTTTCTTATTCATCTTTTTTACTCATGAACATACTATTTATCGTGTTGTTACAGTACCCTATTCAAGTCAACATCTATCATATTTACTATTGTTTAGAGATACGTTATCTTTTACAAGAATAAACTGTAATAAAACAAAAAAGTTCTTTTCATTTGATAATATAAATACTTTTCGACTATTTTCTAAAATTTGTCCATCGATTTGTATTGTATCTGGATCATTTTGAATAATATTTAATAAAGTCTCCATTAATTTCGCAACATATGTTCTTTGTTGTCCACGTTGTTTTATTGGTTCATCAGTTAATATAGATTGAAGATAGAAAGGTAAACCACCTGATCGTCGTGTTAAACATAATTTATTTTTATCAAGAGTATTTTCTTCAACCATTTTTTATTCCATTTTCGATCCATTTTATTGGTAAATTACATAATTCATTACAATTTGAATTAAAATATTATATTTATAATTCAAAAAAGAAATATATACAATTGAAAATTTCAGTAAACCTCCAAAGTTGTTCACAAATAATAAGAAAACCAGTATAAGCTAATTCATATGCACCACAATGACAAGATTTTAATAACTGTTCCATATAATAATCACATATAATATGAACCTAAGCGAAAAGACAAAAACATATATACAGGGGTTCCCAAAATTATAAGACCCCCTCTACAAGTTTGAGAATAATAAAGTTTTCAGCTACTAAAGAAGCTTTGATAAGGGATCTAATGCCATATATATAGACACCGCTAAAGCATCTATCATGTGCTATATTGATCTCTATTTGGTTAAATATTAATAATATTTAGATTCAAGAAATTTTGAATTTCACTCATTGCATAATTATAAGACCCCCCTCTCAGGAGTATAAAAGTATTGCCTTAATGTTCATTTTTTTAAGTCAAAAAACATCTTGTCAGTATCTGTTCAAAAGAGGAGATAATTAGTTATCTACTACAAAAAATATAGACTTATATAAGCTATACTTTAACTTTTCTATGGTCGAACAAACTAAAGAGTAGAAAACCTATATCCCACAATAAGCCTATTTTAGCTCAAAAAAAAGGTTCCCACTTGTTTAATGTAATAAAACTAGATTTAAACTATACCATTAGATAGAGCACTAAAAGTTGTATAGTCCACATATTTATTGACAACAAACTTTGAAGACATTAATAATTGTGAAAAGGTAAAATCAAGATAGTCAAGATAAGGTATTCTGTAAGGAATCTATAAAAAAAATTTATTTTCATATAAAAACCAGACGTTTTTTTTTTCAAGGGTACCATAAGAAAGAGCATCAAATTCTACACCAACTAGATTACTTCTTTTTACGAAAGCTTATCTCTGAACGCCCGGGAACTTAGTCTCAAAAAGGAGACAAATCAGTCTCATTATGCGAAAAAATAATATATGCTAGTGATATCACGAAAGATCATGTTTTAACAATTTTTGAAGAAAAATTTCTGAGAAAAAAAATCTTATCTTGTTAAAATTTTACTTTCTCAGACATTTTACTTCAAAAATTGTTAAAACATGATCTTTCGTGATATCACTAGCATATATTATTTTTTCGCATAATGAGACTGATTTGTCTCCTTTTTGAGAGTAAGTTCCCGGGCGTTCAGAGATAAGCTTTCGTAAAAAGAAGTAATCTAGTTGGTGTAGAATTTGATACTCTTTCTTATGGTACTCTTGAAAAAAAAAACGTCTGGTTTTTATATGAAAATAAATTTTTTTTTATAGGTTCCTTACAAAATACCTTATCTTGACTATCTTGATTTTACCTTTTCACAATTATTAATGTCTTCAAAGTTTGTTGTCAATAAATATGTGGACTATACAACTTTTAATGCTCTATCTAATGGTATAGTTTAAATCTAGTTTTATTACATTAAACAAGTGGAAACCTTTTTTTTTGAGCTAAAATAGGCTTATTGTAGGATATAGGTTTTCTACCCTTTAGTTTGTTCGACCATAGAAAAGTTAAAGTATAGCTTATATAAGTCTATATTTTTTTCAGTAGATAACTAATTATCTCCTCTTTCGAATAGATACTGACAAGATTTTTTTTGACTTAAAAAAATGAACATTAAGGCAATACTTTTATACTCCTGAGAGGGGGGGTCTTATAATTATGCAATGAGTGAAATTCAAAATTTCTTGAATCTAAATATTATTAATATTTAACCAAATAGAGATCAATATAGCACATGATAGATGCTTTAGCGGTGTCTATATATATGGCATTAGATCCCTTATCAAAGCTTCTTTAGTAGCTGAAAACTTTATTATTCTCAAACTTGTAGAGGGGGTCTTATAATTTTGGGAACCCCTGTATA